TCTCCCAAGTGCTGGGATTAAAGGTGTGCGCCACCACCGCCCAGCATCTCTTTCTTATTTTAAAACTATTTTTTATGACTGTCTATACCCTTTTACTTTTTTTTGAGACAGGGTTTCTCTGTGTAGCCTTGTGTCTGTCCTGGATCTCACTCTGTAGACCACACTGGCCTTGAACTCACAGAGATCTGCCTGGCTCTGCCTCCCAAGTGCTGGGATTACAGGTGTGTCACCACTGCCCGGCTAACTTATGCACATTGTTAAACACACTGTAACCTGCTTAGAGGCTTTTTTTCTGTCTGAACCTGCTTTACTGAATATCTGTAACCTTTCTGTCTGCATGAGCAAAACCTTAAACAGCCGCGCAGCTCAGTTCATGATGCACTGGTGGCTCAAGCCAGCAGGCAGTGCCCGGGAGACACCTCTGTACCGTGGCCCTCATGAGAGACTGAGGAACTAGGAAGCCATGTTTGGCTCCATTTTGTGTTTAGAACATTTTTTAAGCTTTTTCAAGTCTTACGTGGAAACATGTGTCCCCATGTTGGACCTTTTCATTGGGACTGTTGGCTTCCCAATTATCTTGAGTCAACTTAAGTCTAATTATGGATAAATAGAAACACTGGATCCCTGGTGACAGGCTAAGCTAGTTACCTCCACCCAAATCTGTTGTGGAATATTATTTTAAGATGTGTTACATTTGTTTATGCTGTGGAACATTTGTTTAATGATGCAAAGATGTGTTGCATTTTTTTATGTTGCATTTGTTTAACTCTGTGAAGCTGTGCTACTTTGTCTGTCTAAAACACCTGATTGGTCTAATAAAGAGCTGAATGGTCAATAGCAGGTCAGGAGAAAGGACAGGCATGGCTGGCAGGCAGAGAATAAATAGAAGAAGAAATTTGGGGGGGGGGAGAGGATCGAGGAGCAGGAGAACAAGGAGAGGAGGACTCCAGGGTCGGTCATCAAGCCACACAGCCAGCCACAGAATAAGAGCGAAAGATATACAGAAGTAAGAAAAGGAAAAAGCCCGGAGGCAAAGGTAGTCAGGCTAATTTAAGAAAAGCTGGCTAGAAATAAGCCAAGCTAAGGCCAGGCATTTATAAGTAAGACTTAGACTCCACATGTGATTTATTTGGGAGCTGGGTGTTGGGTCACCCAAAGAGTCAAAAAAGCCCCAGAAGTAAAAACACACAAACAAACAAACAACACAAATTCTGTTAGTATTACCGCATACCCAAACTGGAAGTTTTAGGGTCGAAAATCAGTTCCAATCAAGCTTGCCTGAAGACATAACAAGGCCATGTATCTGATAAGATCTCAGGTAGTGCATGTGTGCAAAATTGACAGTCTTGGTCCAATTCAAGCTGGACTATAGGATTTCTGATGGTTAGACAAAAGCCAGCATTCCTCGGGAACTTGTGGAACAGGTTTCTGTTCCCTAAAAGGAGTCATTTCCCTTGCCTCTGGGAGAAGAGACAGATGGCTCTTCATTGACGTATACCTGGTTGCCTGTCAAATCCCATGCTGGCCTCCAAGCTCCTTCAGTTCCTACTGACAAGTACCAGGTATTCTTCACAAGCCAAGCTATCCTCTGTCCCTTGTCACCTCCGCTAATTCTCCTTCACCATCCTAGCCACAGGCTATTCCAGGACCGCCCCACCCCTGTTCTCTTTATAATGGCCAGGTTTTCCCCCTGCCCCCACGCTTCTCCCTTAGCCATGCCCAGTCTGCTTCTTTCTCTCTGCTCCAGACTTCCGGACGCTCCTGGATATTTTCTTTCTCTTACCCACAATAAAAACCTTCCACCCATGGAACAGCCTTTTCAGTGGTTTCTTTACTGCCCTCGAATACAGAACCCAGTCATCATTTTTGTTGAGAAAAAGGCAAACACCAGGGAGAAGAGCAGCAGAGGGAGGAATAAGACCCAGGTGGCACAAGACCTTGTACCCACCCGACTACTCATCAGCCGTGAAGAAAGGGAGCAAGGGGCTTGTATGAGGTTATGAAAACTGTTCTCTGTTCAGTCAGAGAGCCTACCAGCCTAGGCTAACAGTGGCTTTGGAAGGTTGTAAAGTAAATTGCCACTTGGGCTACACCGGTCTCCAGTGCTCTTGCATGAAGTGAGGATCTTTGTTTCTCACACACCTCCTACCTCTTTATAATCTCACTTTCAAAGAAAAAAATCTTGGGGTCTGGAGAGGTGGCTCAGTGGTTAAGAGTACTTACTGCTTTTGCAGAGGATGTGGGTTTAGTTCCTAGAACCCACATATTAGCTCACCATTTGCAACTTCAAATGATCCAACACTCTCTTCCGTCCTCCAAGGGCGCCAGGCACAAACACGGTGCACTTACAGACAAGCAAGCAAAACACTCAAACACAAAAAACAAGTCAGCTGTAACTGGAAGTTTCTCTAGTCCTGCCTTGCCCCTTGGTCGGGCTTTATCTCTCCCACCCCAGGTCCCTCAGCTGCTTACAAATAATCACTCAGAGGCTTATATTAATTGCACTCTATGGCCTATGGTTTCAGCTTCTTGATAGCTAGCTCTTTCATCTTAAATTAACCCATATCTATAAATCTGTATGTTGTCACGTAGCTCTGGTGTTACCTGACATCTTGTTCCTTCGGCCTGACTCCGCCCTTTTTCTCTCTGTATCTCTGCTTGGATTTCCTGCCTGGCTGTACACTTTCTTGCCATAGGCCAAAACAGCTTTATTTATTATCCAATGGGAGTCACACATAGTCACAGCATACAAAGATATCCCACAGCACTTAGCCAGGCAGTGGTAGTGCAGGCCTTTAATCCCAGCACTCAGGAGGCAGAGGCAAGCAGATCGCTGTGAGTTCCAGGCCAGCCTGGTCTACAGAGCGAGTTCCAGAACAGCCAGGGCTGTTACACAGAGAAACCCTGTCTTGAAAAACCAAAGACGAAGAAAAAAAAAATCATTATGGTGGGTGTGATGGTGGCACAGAATTTTAATACCAGCACTTGGGAAACAGAGGCAGGTGTATCTCAGCAAATCCGAAGCCAGCCCAGTCTACATAACAAGGTCCAGTTCAGCTAAGGGCTACCTAGTGAGACCTTGTCTCACAAACAACCCCATCAACCAACCAACCAAAACCCTTTTGACAAAAAACACTGTAAAAATGTTTTTATTTGTGTAGGGGTTTTACCTGCATGCATGTCTGTGTACCATGCCTGGCTGTGAGCCACCATGTGGGTGCTAGGAATCAAACCCTGATCCTCTGGAAGAACAGCCAGGACTCTTAACCACTGAGCCATCTCGCCAGCCCCCACAAAGAAATGTTGTTGAGTCAGGCAGGGTCTCACTCCATAGCCTGGCTGGCCTGGCACTCTCCATATAGACTAACAGAAATCTGCTGGCCTTTGCCTCCTGAGGGCTAGGATTAGAGTCCTGAACTTCCACTGCATTATTCATCTTTTAGATGATATCCTTTGAACAAAGTAACTTCAAAAGCCACCAAAATTATGGACTGCTGTTACGATGCTCAAGTAGGACTCTCTTGAGACACACACACACACACACACACACACACACACACACACACACACACACACCCCTCTGGGTGTGCACTCCCTCCCCAATCTTGCTTCACAGATTCCTGAAACCTTCCTGCAGTGTACATTAAGATCCTGGGCAGAGCTCCTCAGGTTGAGATGCTGAGTTTACCTCGTTGCCAGTGACATCTGCAAGCACACATTCATACATGCTGGCGCAACACTAGTGCACATAAAGTAAGCCCAAAAAATAATAGTAACTAAAAAGGAAAAGCATGGTCTAAATTCAGAGGACATTCCTTTCCAGCAGAGTAAGAAAGGGAAAGTACGCCCAAGAATGGGAGTGGGTTAGTGAGTTGAGGAGAGCGCCCACAAAACATAGGGCAACGATGTCTACAGCCATTTATAGGGCACTGATATAATTTCTGTTTTGGCTTCGGCTTTTCTCTCGAACGCTCTGCTCATTCGGAGCCGAGGTGGGGAGCTTTCCAGTCCTTCCCCGCAAACAAGCTTGTTTCATGCCTTAATGTGGTATCCTCCCTTCAGGGGGACATGCAGCATCCACCCAGCTCCCCCTCATCAACGGCGTCGGGGCTTGGTGTCCTGTTTTAAGAACTTGTGCACTACCAGGACACTGTATGTGTCGGTGTTGGGAGTTCGAACCAGGGCCTGTCCGGGGGACTCCACCAGCGGGGGCTCGTTCAGCTCTTCTATACCTTCCAAGGAGGCGCGGGGTGGAGCCGTGCACAGCGCCAGCGCCGCCGCCGCCGCCGCCGCCAGGTTCGACCGTAGGACACCAGGTTGCTGGAGGGCGAGGAGCCAGCAGCGCCGGCAGGAGGGAGGAGACTGGGAACCGGGTGGAAGGGACGAGCGCGAGAAAACGGGGGGCCGGGGGCGGGGCCGGGCGCACGGAG